CCTTTTGCACTAGCAGAATCAATAATTTCTCCTATAATGAAAGTAACATAATTTGTACCACTAAAATATGAAATTTCAGATTTTGTACCCCTGCCGTTCCTATAGAAATTAACCTAAATTCATATTAGGCTCAAGAGTAAAGTACCCTTTTGCACAAGCAGAATCAGTAGTTACTCATGCAATGAAAGTAACAATTTGTACCACTAAAATATGAAATTTCAGATTTTGTACCCCTGCCGTTCCTATAGAAACTAACCTAAATTCATATTAGGCTCAAGAGTAAAGTACCCTTTTGCACTAGCAGAATCAATAGTTACTCCTGCAATAAAAGTAACATAATTTGTACCACTAAAATATAAAATTTCAGATTTTGTACCCCTGCCGTTCCTATAGAAATTAACCTAAATTCATATTAGGCTCAAGACTAAAGTACCCTTTTGCACTAGCAGAATCAATAGTTACTCCTGCAATGAAAGTAACATAATTTGTACCACTAAAATATAAAATTTCAGATTTTGTACCCCTGCCGTTACTATAGAAATTAACCTAAATTCATATTAGGCTCAAGAGTAAAGTACCCTTTTGCACTAGCAGAGTCAATAATTTCTCCTACAATGAAAGTAACATAATTTGTACCACTAAAATATGAAATTTCAGATTTTGTACCCCTGCCGTTCTTATAGAAATTAACCTAAATTCATATTAGGCTCAAGAGTAAAGTACCCTTTTGCACAAGCAGAATCAGTAGTTACTCCTGCAATGAAAGTAACAATTTGTACCACTAAAATATGAAATTTCAGATTTTGTACCCCTGCCGTTCCTATAGAAACTAACCTAAATTCATATAAGGCTCAAGAGTAAAGTACCCTTTTGCACTAGCAGAATCAATAGTTACTCCTGCAATAAAAGTAACATAATTTGTACCACTAAAATATAAAATTTCAGATTTTGTACCCCTGCCGTTACTATAGAAATTAACCTAAATTCATATTAGGCTCAAGAGTAAAGTACCCTTTTGCACTAGCAGAATCAATAATTTCTCCTACAATGAAAGTAACATAATTTGTACCACTAAAATATGAAATTTCAGATTTTGTACCCCTGCCGTTCCTATAGAAATTAACCTAAATTCATATTAGGCTCAAGAGTAAAGTACCCTTTTGCACAAGCAGAATCAGTAGTTACTCCTGCAATGAAAGTAACATAATTTGTACTACTAAAATATGAAATTTCAGATTTTGTACCCCTGCCGTTCCTATAGAAACTAACCTAAATTCATACTAGGCTCAAGAGTAAAGTACCCTTTTGCACAAGCAGAATCAATAGTTACTCCTGCAATGAAAGTAACATAATTTGTACCACTAAAATATAAAATTTCAGATTTTGTACCCCTGCCGTTACTATAGAAATTAACCTAAATTCATATTAGGCTCAAGAGTAAAGTACCCTTTTGCACAAGCAGAATCAATAGTTACTCCTGCAATGAAAGTAACATAATTTGTACCACTAAAATATAAAATTTCAGATTTTGTACCTCTCCGTTCCTATAGAAACTAACCTAAATTCATATTAGGCTCAAGAGTAAAGTACCCTTTTGCACTAGCAGAATCAATAGTTACTCCTGCAATAAAAGTAACATAATTTGTACCACTAAAATATAAAATTTCAGATTTTGTACCCCTGCCGTTCCTATAGAAATTAACCTAAATTCATATTAGGCTCAAGACTAAAGTACCCTTTTGCACTAGCAGAATCAATAGTTACTCCTGCAATGAAAGTAACATAATTTGTACCACTAAAATATAAAATTTCAGATTTTGTACCCCTGCCGTTACTATAGAAATTAACCTAAATTCATATTAGGCTCAAGAGTAAAGTACCCTTTTGCACTAGCAGAGTCAATAATTTCTCCTACAATGAAAGTAACATAATTTGTACCACTAAAATATGAAATTTCAGATTTTGTACCCCTGCCGTTCTTATAGAAATTAACCTAAATTCATATTAGGCTCAAGAGTAAAGTACCCTTTTGCACAAGCAGAATCAGTAGTTACTCCTGCAATGAAAGTAACAATTTGTACCACTAAAATATGAAATTTCAGATTTTGTACCCCTGCCGTTCCTATAGAAACTAACCTAAATTCATATAAGGCTCAAGAGTAAAGTACCCTTTTGCACTAGCAGAATCAATAGTTACTCCTGCAATAAAAGTAACATAATTTGTACCACTAAAATATAAAATTTCAGATTTTGTACCCCTGCCGTTACTATAGAAATTAACCTAAATTCATATTAGGCTCAAGAGTAAAGTACCCTTTTGCACTAGCAGAATCAATAATTTCTCCTACAATGAAAGTAACATAATTTGTACCACTAAAATATGAAATTTCAGATTTTGTACCCCTGCCGTTCCTATAGAAATTAACCTAAATTCATATTAGGCTCAAGAGTAAAGTACCCTTTTGCACAAGCAGAATCAGTAGTTACTCCTGCAATGAAAATAACATAATTTGTACTACTAAAATATGAAATTTCAGATTTTGTACCCCTGCCGTTCCTATAGAAACTAACCTAAATTCATACTAGGCTCAAGAGTAAAGTACCCTTTTGCACAAGCAGAATCAATAGTTACTCCTGCAATGAAAGTAACATAATTTGTACCACTAAAATATAAAATTTCAGATTTTGTACCCCTGCCGTTACTATAGAAATTAACCTAAATTCATATTAGGCTCAAGAGTAAAGTACCCTTTTGCACAAGCAGAATCAATAGTTACTCCTGCAATGAAAGTAACATAATTTGTACCACTAAAATATAAAATTTCAGATTTTGTACCTCTCCGTTCCTATAGAAACTAACCTAAATTCATATTAGGCTCAAGAGTAAAGTACCCTTTTGCACTAGCAGAATCAATAATTTCTCCTATAATGAAAGTAACATAATTTGTACCACTAAAATATGAAATTTCAGATTTTGTACCCCTGCCGTTCCTATAGAAATTAACCTAAATTCATATTAGTTCAAGAGTAAAGTACCCTTTTGCACAAGCAGAATCAGTAGTTACTCCTGCAATGAAAGTAACAATTTGTACCACTAAAATATGAAATTTCAGATTTTGTACCCCTGCCGTTCCTATAGAAACTAACCTAAATTCATATTAGGCTCAAGAGTAAAGTACCCTTTTGCACAAGCAGAATCAATAGTTACTCCTGCAATGAAAGTAACATAATTTGTACCACTAAAATATAAAATTTCAGATTTTGTACCTCTCCGTTCCTATAGAAACTAACCTAAATTCATATTAGGCTCAAGAGTAAAGTACCCTTTTGCACTAGCAGAATCAATAATTTCTCCTATAATGAAAGTAACATAATTTGTACCACTAAAATATGAAATTTCAGATTTTGTACCCCTGCCGTTCCTATAGAAATTAACCTAAATTCATATTAGTTCAAGAGTAAAGTACCCTTTTGCACAAGCAGAATCAGTAGTTACTCCTGCAATGAAAGTAACAATTTGTACCACTAAAATATGAAATTTCAGATTTTGTACCCCTGCCGTTCCTATAGAAACTAACCTAAATTCATATTAGGCTCAAGAGTAAAGTACCCTTTTGCACAAGCAGAATCAGTAGTTACTCCTGCAATGAAAGTAACAATTTGTACCACTAAAATATGAAATTTCAGATTTTGTACCCCTACCGTTCCTATAGAAACTAACCTAAATTCATATTAGGCTCAAGAGTAAAGTACCCTTTTGCACAAGCAGAATCAGTAGTTACTCCTGCAATGAAAGTAACAATTTGTACCACTAAAATATGAAATTTCAGATTTTGTACCCCTGCCGTTCCTATAGAAACTAACCTATTAGGCTCAAGAGTAAAGTACCCTTTTGCACTAGCAGAATCAATAGTTACTCCTGCAATAAAAATAACATAATTTGTACCACTAAAATATAAAATTTCAGATTTTGTACCCCTACCGTTCCTATAGAAACTAACCTAAATTCATATTAGGCTCAAGAGTAAAGTACCCTTTTGCACAAGCAGAATCAGTAGTTACTCCTGCAATGAAAGTAACAATTTGTACCACTAAAATATGAAATTTCAGATTTTGTACCCCTGCCGTTCCTATAGAAACTAACCTAAATTCATATTGGGCTCAAGAGTAAAGTACCCTTCTGCACGAGCAGAATTATAATTTTAAAATTATTCGTAAATTCGAAAAAAATTCTATTAATAATTTAGGCACTAGTGACTATTCATTGCGTAATTTAATCAGAAAACCATGAATACGTCGTTTTTTATTTGTGATGAGTAGCTATAGTACAAAGTTTCAGGTGCCTAACTATACAAAAATCGATACTCTCATACACATTTTCATCCCCTCGTTTCCCACCTTAAAATGTGAAAATCCAAAAATCCAAAAAAATGTCATTATTTATTTACGCTTAGTAGTTGTATTTCAAATTTTCATGTTTCTTACTTCAAAGAAAAAACTTTCACACAAAGTTACCCCTACCATTTCCCTCCCCATTGTCCCCATTTAAAGTTGAAATTTCTAAAAATTCTTTCTTAGGGGATGCTAACGTTATATAATAAACCTACGTTCGAAATTTCAGCTTTAGTTTTGGCGTTGATTAGTCAGTTAGTCAGTCAGTCAATCTGTCAGGACAAACGATTTTATATATTTAGAACCATTTTGGTGGCATATACCAATGAAACACGCTGTATAGGTTTTGACTGAATAACTAGAAAAAGCTAATTACTAACAAAAATCTCAATCAAGAGTAAATGAAAATTGACACTTAAGAGATTGGAATAATATATCAAACTGATATCAAAAAGATTAAAAAAGTAATTGAGAATAAAATGTAATGTAGACAACCATGAAAAAGAAAGATATATTTAAATTGTGAAAAAGTAATAAATAATGAAAAATTAAAAATGTATAATAGAGATTTGTTAAAAATTTTAATAATTATGTTAATTTGTCCTTACCTCCATTTCGGAATCTTGAAAATTCAGATTGGTATCCCTCAAAACATTTTCTTTATAACTATTAACGCTAATATTTTCCTTAGCGTTCGATAAGAAAGCGTCCTTAATTTTAATCTCTAAACTGTCGTCCATTTTATTTACCTCTTCAAGTTGATTATGATCTCGGATTACTAATGGAGTCACAGGCTTATCATTATTATCAGGGCTTAAATCTAAATCAACAAATGGTGTTTCAGAATCAAGCAAGATTTTTCTGATGACAGCAGTTTGGCAGTTCTTCAAACAAATGCTTAGAGGTGGTGTTGTAGATGCTTCAAAACTGGGACTATCATCGGGACTAATAACTTTGCAATTTGATATTAAATTTGATGTAGCTGGAGATGCAGTAGATGTAGCAATTTCATACTCGTTTATATCATCAGAAAGTGAGTTTTTAATAATTTTGGTATCCTCCAATACTTGATGAAGAGGTAAATTTTTAAACGGAGACAGTTTATTAAAAGGTTGTTCAATATTTGGTTCGATATTGTATTTAATAGCGGTTGGAGAGAGATCTTTGATGACGTGCAGTTTTTCAACAGCTTCCTCCAATTCTTGAACGATAGCTTTTTCGATTTTAGGAAGATGATAGGGATCTTCAAAGATATCTTCCTGTTGTAGGGTGACTTTTAGAAGTTCTGCTTCTATCTCTTTTCGAAAATCACCTATAAATTATAAAAAAAAAGATAATGATTATCAGGTTTGGAGCAAGAGTTGATTTAAAACTATTTTTTTCTTTGAGCACGTCGTAAACAACAAAATATATTTAGATAAGAGTACGTGGCAATCTTTTATACAGTGTGTCCCAAAAAATGTATGCTTAGAAGAAAGTTTCTTTTTTTTAAATGTCTTAAACGAAAATGACAAAAAAGTCAAAACTAACTATGTGGTGTTTGTAACATCAACACATAAACTTCCTACTCAAAAAAAAACAAACCCATATAATAATATAATTTAACCAACTTATTGGGTATAATACAAAAGAAATATTTTCTTTGGTTTTAAAATAACATTTTAAGCATCTTGTTTTATTACTGGCTCAACCTAAGTTCTTTACCATTAACCCTTCCCGACACGGCATACACTGGAGTGTATATTGATTTCAAATACTAGTAATATACTTTTTTTAATAAATTTACTGCAAGTTATGTGGTACACGGTAGTTGTTGTATTTTAAATTTCGTCCAGAAGACTTCCCATCATAATTAAGGTATGAGTTTTATTGTTTTGTGAAATACTAACATTTACACAACAGGTTTTTTCCCGTATCTGGTTGTTATATTTTTTTGTTGGTGGATTAGGATTTAAGGTAAGTAATGAATAGTAAACTGAAACTTATTATTTAAATATTATCGTAGTTTAATTCGCACCAGCCGATTAAAAAGCAAAATTTAATATACAGATTGATTTGGCAACGTCAATATTATTCTAGAACTCAGAGTAGTGTAGAGAGGACAGTAAACAATGTTTGTGTCGCCTTGATAATATGGTCGAGAATCGCATCAAAGATTATAATTAGAGAGAAATAGATTAATATCTCTATCTCTAAATTTATTTTTCCAGTTATTTTTAGAAAATTATTTAAGTTCTTACTTAAATTCGTTCAGGTATGGTGGTGTTAAAAGAGATTTTGGTTAGTAGGGTTTATTTAATACTAGGAAAAAGCTTGCGTGCTTTATGTGGTTTCAAATATAAAAGAGGAAGTGAGGTTACGTTTCACTCGTTAATATTATTTCTTCCCGAAGAACATGAGGACCGTTTTAGGAGAAAAAAGGAAAATTAAATATGAATATTAAAAAAAATAAAATTATTATATTTAGTGTTCTAAAATACGAAGTAGAAGAAACTTATGGTTAGAGGCACTTGAATAGACTGAAATGTAAGAAGTTGAACGAATATATTATATTTGTTCAAGGCATTTTTTATAGGACGGCATTGTTGCAACAAATATATTTATAAGTTTGTACGTTTCAAAATAATATCAAGCACTTTTAAAAATTGTATCTTTACTTTTTAGGAACATTGTAATACACAAAAAAAGCAGGAAAAAAAGAGAAGTGGTGAACCTATGTCACCTAAAAAAAATAGAAGGTACTGTGTTAAATAAATTTGGCGAACCAATAATATGTTTGACTGTTTTTAGTACAGTAATTTCTACAGATACTAAATTATTTGATTATGGGCCTTCTTTAAGAGTATTAAACTTGCCAACAAATAAAAGACGTTACAGTTTGAACAAAAGTACCTCATACACTTCAATATAAGTGTAGATATATTGGTAATTTTGTATTGAAGTTTCTAGAAAATCGGTCATTACGAAGACTTTTTGTTTGTTTGTTTGTTTGTTTGTTTGTTTGTTTGTTTGTTTGTTTGTTTGTTTGTTTGTTTGTTTGTTTGTTTGTTTGTTTGTTTGTTTGTTTGTTTGTTTGTTTGTTTGTTTGTTTGTTTGTTTGTTTGTTTGTTTGTTTGTTTGTTTGTTTGTTTGTTTGTTTGTTTGTTTGTTTGTTTGTTTGTTTGTTTGTTTGTTTGTTTGTTTGTTTGTTTGTTTGTTTGTTTGTTTGTTTGTTTGTTTGTTTGTTTGTTTGTTTGTTTGTTTGTTTGTTTGTTTGTTTGTTTGTTTGTTTGTTTGTTTGTTTGTTTGTTTGTTTGTTTGTTTGTTTGTTTGTTTGTTTGTTTGTTTGTTTGTTTGTTTGTTTGTTTGTTTGTTTGTTTGTTTGTTTGTTTGTTTGTTTGTTTGTTTGTTTGTTTGTTTGTTTGTTTGTTTGTTTGTTTGTTTGTTTGTTTGTTTGTTTGTTTGTTTGTTTGTTTGTTTGTTTGTTTGTTTGTTTGTTTGTTTGTTTGTTTGTTTGTTTGTTTGTTTGTTTGTTTGTTTGTTTGTTTGTTTGTTTGTTTGTTTGTTTGTTTGTTTGTTTGTTTGTTTGTTTGTTTGTTTGTTTGTTTGTTTGTTTGTTTGTTTGTTTGTTTGTTTGTTTGTTTGTTTGTTTGTTTGTTTGTTTGTTTGTTTGTTTGTTTGTTTGTTTGTTTGTTTGTTTGTTTGTTTGTTTGTTTGTTTGTTTGTTTGTTTGTTTGTTTGTTTGTTTGTTTGTTTGTTTGTTTGTTTGTTTGTTTGTTTGTTTGTTTAAGAATCAATGTTTGAGTTTTAGATATTTTAAATAAACATGTATATTTATAAATTTCTTTTTTTTTTAGTCCAGTAATTTAGAAAAAAAGGCTAGAATACATTGCTGAAATATTACTATTTAATATTTCTAAAAGGTTTCAAATTTTTATATCAGAAATATTACTGTGAAATATTACTGTCATACGGGGTTAAGTGAATCGCTATGGGTAAAATGAATCAATGGGCACTTTTTGGTAATATCCGTGAATAACTTCGTTACTAAGCAAAAGACATTTGCAGACTTGCAGATTCTCGTTCACCAGTCGATCAAAGATATATCTCGAGATGGTTGTGTGATACTTCGAAAAGCAGGTGAGCATGAAAAAAATGTAATGTTGAACACGTGTTTTTGTTATTTCTAAGAAAGTTGTTGAACGTTTGGTTGTGGGGGGAGTGGGTAGTGGTTAGGATAATCGGTACTTTTTTAATGACACCCCTTATTATCTGTAAGTCGAATAGTAAATAAAAAAAAATTGAACAGTTTGTTTTTAAATAAAAAATTAAAAATGACCAAAGTAGGGGTAAAATGGACCACGTATGTTATAGTTAATGTTGGGAGCATTTTAACAAAATAATTTTTTCTACATAGTAGGTTGGTTTAAAATTATACAATGTAGTACAGGGATAGTTGGCGGCTCATTCCCTACCTACTTTTTGGCTTTCTCCCTCTCCATATTTACTGCTGGTTTCCAATTAAATATAAACATAGAGGCGAACTTGTCACATAAAATAAAATAAAAATTTTTACTAAAATAAAAAGCTAGTTTGGAGCTGCGTTTGGAGCTGTGTTTAGAGTTTAGTTAATTCATTAATATTTAGTTTGTTTAATGTTAAGTTTCTGAAAAGTTACCATTCAAAGTTTTTTTTTATATTAGAATTAAGCGTTTATTTATTTGTTTTCACAATGTTTCGTACCGTTTATTTTGGTCAAACAAAAACTAAGCTTAATTATGATTGTTCTCGTTATTTATACTATATAATAAATATACACCATTAGACATTTTAAATACCTAGATATTTAAAGTGAAAACATTTTTTTTATTCATTTTACCATAGGCATCTCTAAAATGATGAAAACACACTTTTAAACGCTTGATTCACTTTACCCCCACTAGTGGATAAAGTGAATCAACCTTTGACAAAAAAAAAATCTGCAAAAGTTGACGTCCACTTTTCTTTGTAAATATCATATTCTCTTCCTAAAAGATAAATCTATCTTCATTAATTTCTGTGTGATCTTAGCTTTATTTTCTGGAAATTATTAAAAAAAACCATTATTTTTGATTCACTTAACCCTGTTTGGCAATATATTTACAGGACATTTTTACGTTTCAGGCACATTTCAGAAATGTTTAGTAATATTTATACATTTTTCAATGGAGAACGCCACTGGGTTTGAACGAGTTTAAGTTCGTTTACAGTTTCAGTACGAATTTTCAAAGGTTTATTGCGAAAATTATAGACTTTAAGTACTGAATTTTGGACAGTTTGGATATCTTAGTCTTGTGCATCGACTGGTTTTATTATTGTATTGGTGAACCGATCGCGAATTTACTTTATTTATAAACTATAAAGAAACTTTTTTTGACTTGCTTATTAGTGATAACGATAAATTTAACCAGTCAATATACCTCGTTGGTAGCTGGTTTTTACTGTAAGCAGGCAACTCATTTTACAATGTGTTGCTGCAGGTTGCCGACATTAAATACACGAGATTTCTTTACTTGCCATTAACGTCTCATCAGGAATTGCCTTTGAGTACAAGGGCAACAAAAATAATAATAGTTTACTTACTGAAAATATTACTAAAATGTCTGTAAATATTACAAGCAGTACTCAAACCAATTCATACTTAGCCGCTGCTAAATCTACACCAAAGCCTACCTTTCCCAAAAATGAACAAGCTATTCTCTTCTATGCTGCTGATGACTTAAAATTATTTGACTACGTGAAATCTGTTGGTAATATCATCGGCCCAAAAAACATTTGTTTTGCTTTAAGAATTGCTATTAGTAGAATCTGCATATATCTTAGTAAAACAGAATTTGTTGATCAAGTAATTACAAATATTTCAATTATAAATGTAGAAGGTCTTGAATTACCTATAAGAAGATTGGTGACACCAGCCAAGAGACTAATACTTTCGAATATATGTCCGTCAATACCTCACGAATTAAATCTGCAGTTAAAGATCTTGGACTTCAATTGGCTTCTTCTATATCCTTCCTAAGAGCGGGTATCCCTAGTGACGAATACAACCATATTTTATCTTTTCGAAGACAGGTCTATATTATTCCACCCACAGAAAATTATGAACTTCAAATTACTTTGGTAATTCCGTTTGATAATAATAGTTACCGCATTTACTTATCTACTGACAAGATGAAATGCTTCGCATGAAAGCAAGCCGGCCATATAGCGTCAAACTGCTCAACTTCCGAAACAAGAGCAGTAACACAATCATTAATCTCTTAAACCAGCAAAGCTGTTTATACTTTTCAACCG